TATACGTAACACAACAGTTCAAGTGAGGCTTACAACACTGACTTATCGGTGAATCAGTCAACGACAAGTTCAATGCTAAAGTTTAGAAAACTAGACAGATAATCATGTCACACAATGGTACTTCCGGTTTACAATGTGTTACACTGATTTAAAAGCAGAATATAATGTAAACAATGAATATTAGTAATGACCAGATCGAAAGTTCAGACGAATAATTTATTATTTTTATCATACATGATTAAATAAAGTGATAATATTTTCTAACTCGACATCTATTCATATACTAATATTGGATAAAAACTCATGGAGAAAATTAACCATATTTTTTTATGAATAAGGATTTTATCAGGGTCGAACAAAGAATTCATATGGTAGCACGAGAATGAACCAACCTCCTCATAGATAAAATAAGCTGACGACTTAAGGTTAGAATTAGCATATCCATCCATCCAAATCAATATAGGACTAGGCATTACTGTGTAACCATTCGAGTTACCACAGCTCATATTGAAAGGAAATGAGAAGACATAAACTAAGAGAGGAATATTTATTGTTAACAAGTTGTACATTAGTGTTATTGCTTGTATTAGCAATAACACGAAACCTATACCTGTCGCACAAGAAGTGGCTATTGTGACTCGGTGGTGTAGTGGATAACGCTCTGGCGTTTGAAGCGATCGCTCCCGAGTCCGAGTCCCGGTGGGGACAACACCACTCACTGGGAGGCAGGTACATCCAGCTGACGAGTCCCAAATAGGACGAAATGAGCATTCTAGATTCCACTGCTAGCCACTGACCATCATTACTATACAAAGTTGTACAGTAGTCGTTAAATATGGTATACCTCGTGACTACGACGGGCATTTTGGTAATGTGCTTCATTTCCTATTCTGCTTCTCTCTTGATTTGCTCTTCATACGTCCGCGTTTTCCCTCGATAGAATCCTTAACCACTGCTGGTAATTCCCTATGATTTCTACCGCCCTCTCAACATATACTACTTATATCCATACTTATAAGCAACGCCGACTACAATATCACTACATCAAGTAAAAGGTAGTGAAGTGGAAGATGAAGAAAAGAAAATTCAGTCAAAAGAAATACAAAGTACTCAAAGAGAAAAGGGAAGAATGAGAAAATGGTGAGATTCAATAAAACATTGAGATGAAGATAATGTGTGTATACACTGACATCAGTTCTAAGCCAATGTGATGATCACCACTGGTTTTTCTTATCCCGCGGACTTCAACCAAAATTCGCATGTAATACGGATATGTACTAATAAATCACACGTGCTACAGAAAAACTTAATATTTTACTTAAGTGGTCAAATTTAGCGTGACAACACCACTTTCAACGATGCCGATGTAAAAAAAACTCTACTAATCTATTCATTGATTTAGTAACAATGCGTTACACATCTATCTTGACAACAGTCAGGCGAAACAAAACTGAATTGGTCATATAACGAAGTTATCTTCAGTTTTTTCCCCATGTCCCATATACCTTCCTTTCTTTCTCTCTCTCTCGGCCACTTTCTACGTCTACTTGTGTACATGCACACCTCAGTAAATATAACTTAACAACATCTTCGGTGCAATTGAGTGATTGTGTTAACTTTTGTTAGTTATTATCTGAACTACAATACAATTTAGCGATAAGGGTATAATGAATGCATTATCAACTACATCAACAATTTTTCAAAGTTAACAGAGACACAAAGATGAGAAAAAGTAAACCTTCTTGAGCAAAGACAAAGACTAAATGCATAATTCCCTTTTTATTGATTTATTAGATTTATTACACAGTGAAGGAACAGTATTATTTACTGAATTGCGTTTAGGACGTAATTTATTGTCCATAGTCATATCAAGCAAGATAACTGTACAACTTTGAGATACCCTTTAATATAGTCCTAATTTTCTCGTCTCTTTGTGAGATGGTGGGGCAGTAAGATTTTCCATATATCCGGTGCTGAGTCATTCTTGTCGCATGTGTTAGGTGTTTGTTTGTCGAATCACCGCCTAACACATGCAGCAACAGGAATAACTCAGCACCTATTCCGGATAGATGGGAAATCCTACTACCCATGTCACAAAGGCGAAAGGGGGGGCGGAAATTAGGACTATATAAAGGATATCTCAAAAGTTGTGTAGTTACCTTGCCTGATATGACCATGGACAATAAAATATGTTCGAAACGTCATCCAGTAAACAATACTGTTCCTTCACTGTGTGATATATCTAATAAATCAATAAAAAGGGAATTACATTCTACTACAGTGCAGAAGTTTTACTCTTATATTGACTAGATGTATAACCTTCAACATTATCCAATAAAAGTAAAACTAGTTCGCTGAAGGTATCATGGAGAAGTGTATGATAAATATTAAAGGCAGAAAATACAACATGCAAATGTATGGAGCCGACTGAGTGACAAAATCAACGTAGAATCTCCCACACAAGGTGCCACACTACACAGTAGTACACAAAGAACAGGTAGATAGAACAGGCGTGATATGAAGCAGTGTATACATCTGCGCTAATGTGACCGATTTTCAGCTACATCACAAAAGACCTCAATTACTGATTCCTTTCATTTCAAGGAACCAAATCAGGTAGTTTACATCTACCCACACAGATCAAACTAATAGTCAGGGACTTTATCAACTGGTGCTAGGTCTATGTCTGGTCACCCTGAACTCTCTTCCAACTTAGTCCAACGTCCCCTATCTCCGAGCATGGCACATCCGGATAGGCGGTGGCTCGGCATGCACAGTAGATGTTCAAGCCATCTTTAATCGACAAAAGTTTACAAGCTCATCAAGTGACTTGCTCACCCTTCCGCTGACTTCAAAATGAAGTTAAGGAGCATTCTTAAAGAATTCAATGGCTTGGACATGTGTTACGCATGTCGTCTCAACAGCTTCCATACCGTTCATTGTTTACTAACCCTGGGACTGAATACAGGAAGTGGAAGGTAGGTCAGCGTGTATGACGTGGCGCCATGCAATGGAGGACAGTTGTGTCGAGTTGGCATCTGTTGGTGCATGACGACTCCGTGGATGGGTTTCGAGAGATCACGCAACTCACTGGCTGGAGACGTTATCAGATATGGCAGAGAATGGAGACGAGTGGCAGTCATACTGTAGCTTCCGCTGCTGAAAAGTAATGAATGTTTTGTCTTAGTGGACTTCCCTTCCAATCATTCTATTCTTATTGTATTTTTCCTTTTTATACAATTCCCTTCGCTTTATGCGCATTTCTTGATACCATTGTTGTACTAAGTTTGTGTTTTTATAAAAAAAATAATAAATGTCATAAACTGAAGGCAACACATTCGACTCCGTCGATTGTGAGGTGTTGTCACAGTGTCTGACTGTGAAAGCAATAATAAGCAAGTATCACCTACTTATCAAACCCCTCTACTCGAGATCACACAGTTGACTAGCAATAAGCAGACGATATTGTCCTGCTAAGTGAAGATGCTGATAAAATACACGGTCTACTGAACACATTGACCAGAGATTTGAATATGTTTGGTATGCGTTTCGCTGGCACTTATCTGATGTAAGATAATGCCTCCAGGATTGGTCTGCTGAAACTATTCTCAGTTTATTGATGAAAAGTGAAGTGGTGGATTGGGAAATTGCATCAGTCCGAACAGTCTGGTTGCTGATGAAATCTCAGCTGAGACACAGAAGCACCGATTAGTATTTGCCAACTTGCATCGTCACTGGTGCCAACTAGTGAGATATGCGAATATCTACTAACGGATAAGTATACTGAGCTGATGCAGTTCATTCTATCCTGTTGTACGGCTGTAAGATATAGTCGTTAAAAGTAGAACACATGAAGCGATTACAGGGTTTTGATCACGGATATCTGAGTAGTATAGCTCACGTAAAGTGAATATCACCATATCGAGGTTAGATGAAGGGTACTGGCTAAAAGAGGCAAGTCAGTCAATGACACTAAGAAAATTCAGCGACTGAGTTAGCTAAGGTGTGCTTTGAGTAGGTCGAGCTACCGCTTACCTTGACTTGCAATTCTACACGAAGTAAGATTGAGGTGGAAGAGCTCTGAGAGTGGCGAGACTATGACGTATCACCAGTTGATGAAATCGTTAACTGTTGGTATGATCCTGTTTGGATTCCCTAAGAAGATAGTAGCAGATATATTCACTTTCTGTTTGATATCTTCCAAAGTTCCAACATTTCCAGGAATTTTCATGTTTCAATTCTCTCTAATCACATACGCTTTTGTCTACTTTGATATCAATCTTCTACTACTACTCCCTTGTTCTTTACATGCTGTTGTAAATTGCTGCAAATTGAATCGATGAAATTCTATGCAATAATCTACATTGATTTATGTGTTCACCTGTCTATCAGCTGAAACTTACACTCTTTCTACCTTCCTAATAGTGTAAAGTAATTTTGAGTAAAGTATCATCTCTGAATGTCTTAACCAATTGGTATATTAAACAATTATTATGATTATTATTTGTGCCTTGGGTTCCTAATGGAACATATGGCTTCAATAGCACGTCTCCATTCCGCTCTCTTCTCTGAAATCTTTTCAACCTGACTCCACGACTGCCCACAACTTCTCATTTCCTCCTCACACGATCTCCTGCATATCACCCTCACCTCGGACACCCAACTCGTCGCTTTCCATCTGTGTTCCACTCGAGGGCCTGGCCTAGAGTGTGATGTCCCTAGTCGACCTTCTCAGTGTATGCCCAATCCATCTCCACTTCCTTCCACTGCATATTTATTGAGCGATAGGTTCTTGATTGGTTTGTTGCCAGCCAGCCAGAATTCCTTGTTGCTAATTCTCCCTGGCCATCTGATCTTCAGTAACAAGCCAGCGTAGGCAGTTGTTGATGAAAGTCTGTAGTTTGCTGGAAATTCGTTTCGTAACGCGCCAAGTATTAAACAATACTATTAGAAATTCTTTAAACCTTAAAATACACTGAAACATTCCTATCATCACTTACTTCACATAACGTCGATACTTCATATAAATATTATCACGAAACATATTCCCGAAATCATGATGAACATACTGGTTAGATGTTTGTAGGGTGGATGATATCTCTCCGATTGACATTGGCATACGATATTTAAGAGAATTATTCACACCACCAGCACATTCAGAATACAAGTTATATATGTTTAGTCCTTTCAAAGGTTCTTCAGACAACTGACTGATCTACGGTCAAAAAAAGAGGATTAATTAGCTTGTACAGAATAACTAGGGCTTATACTTCCAATTATATATATTAGAACAATGACAGAGTTCAGGGGTGACTACTTTTTGAAGGCCACCTTAGTAACTGATGAGACAGCCAATTACATCCCGTTATTTTACGGAAAAGTACTTTCCCGGGCGGCTCAGAGACTTGGCGCGTTACGAAAAGCATTTCCAACAAATTACGGACATTCATCAACAACTGCCTACGCTGGCCACGTAGAATAAGCAACAAGGAATTCTGGCTGGCTGGCAACAAACCAATCAAGAACCTATCGCTCAATAAATATGCAGTGGAAGGAAGTGGAGATGGATTGGGCATACACTGAGAAGGTCGACTGGAGACATCAAGTGCCAGACCACGCCCTCAAGTGGAACACAGATGGGAAGCGACGAGTTGGGTGTCCGAGGTGAGGGTGATATGCAGGAGATCGTGTGAGGAGGAAATGAGAAGTTGTGGGCAGTCGTGGAGTCAGGTTGAAAAGATTTCAGAGAACAGAATGCCTTCGAGACGTGCTAGTGAAGCCGTATGTTCCATTAGGAACCCAAGGGATAAATAATATAAATAATAATAATAACTTCCCCAGGCGAAAAATCGAAGCTTGACTGGTGGTCTATTCAGCAGTTGTTAGGGTGGGCTTTGAAGTCGGATGACTTTAAAAGCCACCCTAGTAACAACCGGAATAACCAATTAGATTTCTCCATTTTGGCTGGAAAGTTTACTTTGTTATTTCCATTGTTTCTAGGGTGGCCTTTAAAGCCACTCAGTACCTGACATATAGTTAGTTATTTGTCCAGGATGCGTAATATTTCCCTACTCCACTCAGAGTGATAGATTCGTGCCATATTTTAGTCTGATTATTATTAGTAGTTACCTTCTAATCAAAACCTAACCTAGAGAACATCGTGCACTTACGCAGGTGATGGGCTAGGAACGTATAACAGTGAAGGCTTTTAACTTTATCAACTGACTCAACTTTATCTAAGATACCATGCCCAATCTATCAATTGCTTATGTGAAGGTTCCATCAAATATGAAAAAGGTGGTCAATAGTAGTCGGACATTTGAAACCTGTTGTGGTAAAGCATCTCAAAGAAAGTCGGAAGCAACAAGTTTAGGCAGAACGAAATCTTGCTCAAAATCTAAAGTAGAGATATTAGTTGATTGGAAGCAATCGACAGGACGCCTTAGACCAAGGTTTCGTACGTGATGGCACTCGTCATCAAGGCGTATATGCAACCTTAACGTAACTGATGTCCCGCAAAAATGATCAATAGAATTCAGTTAGCATTTAGGACTAGATAACATGAAATTGGTTGCTCATCCATGACCAACCAATGTATGCAATACAATCCTACAGGATATCAACTGCAGGCGAAATAGTTCAGTGGTGACGCCGCTGAAACTGGGCGATGCGTGTTCAGGTGGGATATCAGTTCCAACAAGGTTGCAGATACGCCTTGCTGACGAGTGCTAACAAGCATGGAACCTGGATCCAAGGCTTCCTGCCGATTACCTCTAGCCAACTAACATCTATCAATGTGCACAGCCAATGGTAGGCCTTTTACGTTAATGGTCTCACTCCAAAAATCATCGATAGAATTCGATCAGTACTCAGGACTAGGTAACATGAAATTGGTTGCTCTCCCGTGACCAATCTATGAAGACCGAGTATGCTGATGACCTAACCCGAAATCATATGATTCAAAGTACTAAACCACTGATTTCAAGTTTCATACATACCAACCTTATCTTTTCCATTTTCCTCCCAGTGACTTGGCATTTGGCGAGTCAATACCCAGCTTTGTACATCAGTTTTAATCGTCACGCTTAACAGCAGCAGTAAGAAGATGAGGTGTGTAGGAAAAGAATGATAGTAAGAAAAAGAAAAAAATGAGTATGAAAGGTTAACAGTCAAGAGAAATTATATTCACGCTACCGTCATTGAGTATGAACCACCTCCTTGTGGAATTCCGAATATTGGTACCGATAAGAATTGAGCCAAAAACTCAGAAAATTTTGTATAGAACAGACTGAACAATATATACATATAGAAAACTTACAATATGTTGACATTCTTGAGATTTGTTATCCGTGAAAATACAAGAAGTTGAACATTTATTTTCACAACATTTACTGAGTAGATCATTCCATGAACTACAGGAGAAGAACACGGATAGTGAAAAAATCATTCAGTAATTACTAACTCACTTAAAACATTTTCAAAATTTTAACTATGTATTAAAACAAACGTTTGCAAAGCGAAAAGTTTTTTTAAAAAATTTCCGCGGGGAATTCAAAGTGTAACAGGAAAAAAGATGAATAGCATAAAGAGTGTAAACAAAAAAGTGGAGATGAAGATAGTAAAGCTCGATATCAGATGATTTATGCAAATCAACGCAAGAATTTATTGAATTGTCTTTGCATACACAACAAGCATAATTAAACAATGAAAGTATAAGAAGTACTTAAACGATAAAAACCTTCTCAACTGGTCAAATTATGAGAGAATAATAGTGGCAACTGTGTACAAATGGTCTAGATTCTTCAATCGACTAAAAATACACGAAGCAGATACTTCACTGCTACTAGTAATGTCCTAATCGGGAACATCATCATCCAATAATCGAAAACGTCCAGTCAGTAGAAGCCAACACTCAGTGAATTCGGCGACTCAATTTCCTGAAGGGAAAAACTTTCAGGATAGAAGACGAAGGAAAAATGATGTCCTTTAATGCGACTGCACTTTTCGTACCGATCAAGGCAGATCTTGTCAGAGAAACAATGAATATACTTTAATGTTGCTGCTTGTTGAGTGGGCTGAATTGATCGGTCTCTAGGACAAAACGCACGTTCCAGATTCCACTGATAGCCACTACTATCCATCATTAATATATAATTCTGATATGGGCAATATCAAGGCATCCGTGCAGAGACCCCTAACGCCAATAGAAACCAATCATTTCGCTCCATTCAACTACGGGATAATACAAGCAATAGCATTAAAACTATACCCGTCCCACAAGAAGTGGCTATCATGACTCTGGTGTCTAATGGGAACAACACCGCTCATTGGAAGGCAGGCACATCCATCTGACGAGTCCCCAAATAGGACGGAACGCGCGTCCTGGACTCCATTGTTAGCTAATTTCCACTATTAATCGGTGAATATGCATCTCAAAGTGACCAGCGTTGAAAAATATACGAAAATTACTGCTAGAAACTTTATGGGACTGATCAATATATATCTCACAACATACTTTCAGTTTCACAGGGAGATGCATTGCTATACATTTATTATTATTTGAACCGACCACTAAAGCAGTGATACAGAGGTTAGAATCTACAATCATTTGAATAATTGAACCCAAAAATTGGATTTGCTATGCCGATGAAGCTTTTATAATTCTCAAGACAAGTGAAGTGGAAACACAAATTCCATCTCTCTAACCAAACCCTCTGAAGATGTTCGATTCATTCTAAGGAGAATATGACTGATAATGGTAACATATATGTTAATAATAATAATAATAATAATCGCCACAATGTGAAGACAGCTATCAAAACCTCTACGATACTGACATAAGATGAAGGCATCTCAGATGTACCAAATGGGAAGAGATGACGGTTTAAACACCAGTGTTTACAGGGGAAAACAATACTCGAATAAATACACTAGTAAATCAGAAAATATAAATAACGAACTCGAACACATTGAAGGGAAATTATTACTCAATAACTAGCCTATGACGTTTATTAAAAAGTTATTAAGGACTTACAAGAGACAGACAGACGGACAAATAGACAGACAGACAGACAGAAAGCAATAATATTAGTGGTAATTGTAACATTACCGTATAAGTAAAACTTGTGAACTCTGGTCAATTTTAATTTCATTTTGGTTTGTTTGTGTTGCATAGTGAACCAGTATTATTATTTACTAGATAACGTTTCAGACATACATCAGTTGGAGGAACAAAGGAAACCTGGGAGCACTGGACAGCTGTTTCGTCCTAGTATGGGACTCCTCAGCACAACCCCCTCAAAAAAAATTTAATTGAACTAGTGCTCGTTGGTGACTAGCTTCGAGAAGTATTCCCGAAGTTCCAATGACAAGTCGTGACCGGTGGAGTCAAAGCCTGATGGTCGTAAGGACAAATACTCAACGATGACATTGGGTGGCGGTTTGCGCTATATCGTGAGCTAACAGAAGTTGGAAATATGGAGCATTGGATTCTGACCCAGTGGCTCAATGGTAACGCGCTGGTCGCGGAACCTGAAGGTCGCGGGTTCGATCCCTGCTGGTGGGGTCGTAGGTGCGCACTGCTGAGGAGTCCCATAGTAGGACTAAACAGCTGTCCAGTGCTCCCAGGTTTCCTTTGTCCCTCCAACTGATGTCAGTCTTCGATGAATAACAACTTGAAATATTTCCAAATCTCCACAACCCCCTCAAAAAAAGTTTCAGACATAATTTATTGTCCATGTTCATATCACGTAACTTTATGTAGTTCTAAATCTTTCACCTTCTTTGTGATGATAAGGGTAGTAGAATTCTCTGTAACATGCGCTGAATGATTAACATTGTATTACTAGAATATAGAAAAAAAGCTCATCCATAGTTCTGCATACAGTTGCACACAATCACGCAATACAATTGGACAGAGTGACAGTCCTTAAAATTAACTTAGGTGGGTTGAGAGAGAGAAATTGATACGTAGACCTACGTTTAAGGGAATCAACATCAAATATATGCAATAGGAATAACTCTGTGACGATCCCAGAAATATATATATATATATATATATATCACAAAGACCTATATAAACCAAGTAGACTCACTTTGATATGACTATAGATTATAAATTGTGTCAAAAACGTAATCCAGTAAATAATACTGTTTAATTATGATACACATATTAAACCAACTGAAATGAAATATTCGTTTACAAATACAAAACGGACCATGTTTATCTGAGCTGAGACTACCTCAGCAACTAATTAATTAGGGTTGATGCAACTCTCCAGGTAGGTGAGGTGGTTAACACATTCCAGCAAGTCGATTGATTTTTAAAAAGGGAGTCAGAAGAAGTCAGTCTTAAAGGATCATCTTAAGTTTGAAAAGAGCTAAATGCATGCAAAACATACTCAGATTTTTCCTCAGAGCATTCAGAAAGCCCACAGGTATATCAGAGTCTTTACCTAACAAGACTATTTCGTCGGTACAATCTAAGTCAACTAGGTACGCTCCAAGCAGTAGGTTGATATATGAGAAGTTGGAGGTAATTAAGATTGCATTTATCAATGCAATTATAACAAGATCGAATAAGAAAGGTTAATAGTAAACATCTCTGTTCGTTGTTACTTTAGACAATAACTCTGTAAAACCTATATGGTTGTATGAATTCGAGTAGACAGCCTTCACTAGTACAACAACATACTTACACGATACTTCATTCATATCCTAACAATGCCCCGACATCGACAGACAAAACTGAATATCATCTTTAGATGAAGAAGTATGATGTGTCAGCCGATGGTGAATATAGATGTTCCACTCTTTTCGAAAAGTTATAGCTGATGGCTTTTTTTACTTCGGGGACCATAGCTTTGACAGTCAACGTTGACCTGTATAGAGTAGATTGACCTACTCTATGCTTTCCTTAACATCTAGAATACTTCACTAATCTATACCAATTTTTAACTATCGATTCTTTTCTTATCATTTATTTTGAAACCTTTTCATTTGTCGTTAACCATTTCTGTGCAACATAGTGAAGTGAAAAGGTAAACACAGAATTAACAAAGTAAAACAACCATATGATAAATTCTCCTAAGCGAATCTGTACAAGAGTTGGACACGTCCAAAATCCATGAAGAGATATTTAATGAATCTTTGTATTCAAACAATAGATTATTCACTTTTCCATACTATTATTTAATGAAAGTTCATGTAGGGGAAATAAAGTGTTACTAAACAATCGAAATTACAAATTCTTAAGTACAAAAAGAAAATCCAAACATATAAAATTTGAGAAATATTTGTATAAAAGTAGATTACATAATAATGAAATACAACTTAGTAAGCAAGTACACGTCGGGAAATTAACCTACTCAAACAAATACTGTGACATCTAAGTGAGACCATACGAGGATTAAAAGCTTCCTGTTAAAATATGTTAATCCCAGACTACAAGATGATCCTTTAAAGTGAATCTCTGATAAAACATAACAGGATTAAGAGTGTAAAATATCAAACAAGTTTGAAGGTATCCTGACTAACAATGGACTGGATGGTATGAAAAAACTTGGGCACCGAGTTACTATGATTCATTGTATAGGATGTATTTTTACTTGTGTAATCCCGGCGTAGTATATTAGAACAAATAACTAAATAAACAAATTATTTTGTATGTATTCCTCAATGTTTCCATCTTACTAAGAAGATCCTTTTCAAGAGTATCAATGTGACATTAGGTTTTCAGGTTATTATTCAAGTTAAACAGATTGTCTAGTCCTATTACTTAGCACCTTATTGATCTACTGTTTTCATCAATTTTACACTACTTTCTGAGTCATATACATTCGATGTACCATAACATAATCCATTTTGTTATCACTCATACTTCAAGTGTTATCAAAAGTACATTTATGGTTATTATTATTATTATTATAATCTATTTATTTATTTATTTATTCATTTAGAAGTAGTATTCATCATGGACTGACATCAGTTGGGGGACTATTGAAAGTCTGGGAGCACTGGATAGCTGTTTCGTCCTAGTATGGGATTCCTCAGCAGTACGCACCCACGACCCGGTTACGGGTCGAACTCAGGACCTTCAGGTCTCACGGCGAACGTGTTAACCATTCAGCCACTGGGTCGGTTTCCATTGGTTCACAATTTCCAACTTCTCTCGATTCGCGACAAAGCGCGACTGTCACCCAAGGTCTTCAGTTAGCATCCACTTCACTTCCGACTGGTTGACCCCACAGGTCAACGCTCGGTCACAGGTCACAGTCGCGCTATGTCGTGAATTGACAGAAGTTGGGAATTGTGAACCACTGGAAACCGAATCAGTAGCTGAATGGTTAACACGTTCGCCGTGAAACCTGAAGGTCCTGAGTTCGATCCCTAGCCGGGTCGTGGGTACGTACTGCTGAGGAGTCCCACACTGGGACGAAACAGCTGTCCAGTGCTCCCAGATTTTCAATAGTCCCCCAACTGATGTCAGTCCATAATGAATACTACTTCCAAATAAATAAATAGATTATAATAATGATAACCATAAATGTACTTTTGATAACACTTGAAGTATGACTGATAGATAACAAAATGAATTATGTTATGGTACATCGAATGTATATGACTCAGAAAGTAGTGTAAAATTGATGAAAACAGTAGATCAATAAGGTGCTAAGTAATAGGACTAGACAATCTGTTTAACTTGAATAATAACCTGAAAACTTAATGTCAGATTCATACTCTTGAAAAGGATCTTGTTAGTAAGATCGAAACGTTGAGGAATACATACAAAATAATTTGTTTATTTAGTTATTTGTTCTAATATACTACGCCGGGATTACACAAGTAAAAATACATCCTATTACAATGAAAAATATCAAACTTTGAATTCCTACTTCTCGTTTACTGAACTTTTCTCTCTTACCTTTCACCAATTAGACCATGATACTTGATAAAATATAGGAGAGAGTTATCATTTAATCTGTAATTTGTCAATCCATTACCAACAGCAATACCCTAAAAATGAAGAGAAAATAATAAAAATAGTTTAGTTCTGGCAAGTGTCTATAACTCACAACATCCTACAAGAATAACATACTTTAAAACAAGTTAACAATAAGTTTGCACAAATGAAGAATTGTCTAACTAAAATACAATATATGCATTTATCTGTGAAAACATGATGAACGCAGAAGTAGGATAGTGTTATTTAAAAAAAGTATAACAGTATAGTATGAAGTAGATTTTAAACTAATGCACGGTTAAAGGAATTCAACTATCAGAACAGATAGATAAGATCAAAGTTCTAAGAAAGCTAATACAAGACCAGTCCTGATGAATAAGCCTGTCAAGACATCTATTCAGTCACTAGACTACAAACTTACATTAGATCAAGATCAACATAGGAGCAAGGATTACCACATAAAGGTCCAACTTACCACACCTCACATCAATTAACAAGGCAATAAAATGGAAGATGAAGAAGGAAAGAAAAGTCGGTTGAAAATTAGAAGTAGAAAGTAGCAAAAGAGAGGGAGCAATAATGAGATGATGATGATGATGAGATAAGGTATAGCCGTTAAGAAGAAGATAACGCGTGTATACATCTTCACCACTGACATCGGTACTCAAACATATCACCTAGCGTCTCCAACCACTGGTTTCTCTTGTCCCATGCACCTCAACCGGCTGCTTTCCATCGCCCTACATCGCTTCAACCAACAGTCAACGACTTCATGTATTGACGTCATGTTTTAGTGTGGCCAATCCGAACCTTTCCCCAGAGTGAACCTACGTCGGTCAACATTGTGAAGTGAGACAGATGGTGGCTAGGCATACACGTAATACATGTCCCAGTCATCTCAGTTGATGAAGGCTCACCCTACCTCTCTCTCCTTAATCTCTACGTCTGACTTCTAAGTTACTCATGTGTTGACATCACGAAACACGGTCTATGCTACAAAGGCAACGGTGGTCAATCACCTGAAGCTTTCGCATGTCTTCTACCTTTAATAGCCATGTTTTGAAGCTATAAAGTAGAACCGAGCGGACTGCAGCACGCTTTTGATGAGAGAGCAAGCTTTCCAATAGCAACCTTGTACTCAGCAATCTGTTAGCCTACTACATATAATTCCTAGCATAGAATATTAAAACACAAAAGGAAAAAAAGAAGCAAACAAATGACTACCATGCACAACTTTTTCGAGAGAAAGGAATAGTTATTGCTATTAACCATAATACTAATTATATTAATGATAAAAAAAAAGAGCAAGAACAACAACTTTAGCAAAATAGCATAAATCCATTTCCTTTCACGGCTTCTCATCATCTGCTTACAACCTCAAACAATTAGTTTGTTAGAAAATTATCGACTTGAATTAAAGATAACATCGATATGAAGTAATTGAAAACAGACGAATAGCATAAGTTATTATGCAGGACTAAGTTTGTATTGTTCTGCATATTGATACTAAAATGTACAAGGTTGTAAGCAGCTGACAAGGAAGCACGAAACAAAATGGATCCATGCTATTCTGCTAAAGCTGTTGTTTTCACTCTATTTAAATTTGTTAAGGAAAAGAATTGTATGAAACATTAATGATACATAAATGACATTAAACTTCTATGGTAAAGTTGATTAATAAGTTCATTTCTAATACTTTCTTCTGCACTAAGAATGCACACTAACTAAAGTATGATAGGATTTTCATATTTGGTTATGCGTGCATAACGTTTCATTTACTTGCTCATAATCTTGACTGGAGAAAGCTGTGGATGAAAAGGACGCTTATAATATAAATTAACCTGTTACTGAATTAAGGTATCTGTCCCTTATGTTTTCCATTGTCTAATACACTGGTATTAAATATAACAAGATTCCTAAGACTCAGGTGGTTCACAGAAGTTCTGTTCACATCTGAAGCTAAAACTAACAGTTTTACGTTCTAAATAATTGAGCGAAAGACTGTCTTGAGAGGACCAAACTGTTAGGTCATCAGCAAACTTAATGAAATTGATTGTACGTTATACGGATAAAACAAGGGAGGGGAACACTAAGTATAGTATGCAATGAAGTGGAGCGCACTCCTCTGCATACAATATACTGTTTCCCTTCGGAGAAATAGAGATACAACCAGTTTGCGCTCGAGTGTACTGTGCTGCAGTCCGCTCGGTTCTACTGTATAGCTTCAAAATATGGCTATTAAAGGTAGAAGACATGCAAAAGCTTCAGGTGATTGACCACCGTTGCCTTTGTAGCATAGACCGTGTTTCGTGATGTCAACACATGAGTAACTTAGAAGTCAGACGTAGAGATTAAGGAGAGAGAGGTAGGGTGAGCCTTCATCAACTGAGATGACTGGGACATGTATTACGTGTATGCCTAGCCACCATCTGTCTCACTTCACAATGTTGACCGACGTAGGTTCACTCTGGGGAAAGGTTCGGATTGGCCACACTAAAACATGACGTCAATACATGAAGTCGTTGACTGTTGGTTGAAGCGATGTAGGGCGATGGAAAGCAGCCGGTTGAGGTGCATGGGACAAGAGAAACCAGTGGTTGGAGACGCTAGGTGATATGGTTGAGTACCGATGTCAGTGGTGAAGATGTATACACGCGTTATCTTCCTCTTAACGGCTATACCTTATCTCATCATCATCATCATCTCATTATTGCTCCCTCTTTTTTACTACTTTCTACTTCTAATTTTTAAACCGACTTTTCTTTCCTTCTTCATCTTCCATTTTATTGCCTTGTTAATTGATGTGAGGTGTGGTAAGTTGGACCTTTATGTGGTAATCCTTGCTCCTATGTTGATCTTGATGATGATGATGACGATGATGATAACTTTAACTCTGATGAACAAATTCACTAGACTTCTGGAGAATGAACAAGTTTGTTTCGATAGAAAGCTAATAGAAATTCTTAGCCGAATAGAGACAAAGTCAACAGTAGACTGTTTTCAGACTGGATCACTTAAGAGATTTCTAGTTATAAAAATAACAAAAACACCAAAGAATACCCATGAATTCACATTTATTCTGCATGATCTAATAAAAATAAACAAAAATTAGGGCCATATGATAAGTGGAGCAACCTATTAAGAAAAGTCGACCCAAGGCTTAAGTTTTATGTATTACAGACTAAACTACTATGTATTCCCACAGAGAATAAACTCCAAAATGAATACTGAAGATACTTTGTCTTCATCAGGAAACATGGATTCACGAATAACGTTTGCGTTTGAATGATTTTACTACATATGACACTAAATGTCATGATAGCTATCCCAATAGTTTTGTTATCAACTGAAACACAGTAAATCATTATGGGTTAGTTGGAAAATACAACAGGCAAATATTACAGTTATAGTTGTTACTAAGGCTTTCGTGTACTACATCAAACTGGTTAGGCTTTGTTGAAATTTGAACCTGCTTCGATATCTTTAGTGTTTCAGTAGAGAGCAACTACAAATGCCCAAGATACATAACCTTCTCCCGTTTAGGACTCATAAAGTTTCTAAGTATAAACGTTTTCAACAATTTTAGGTGTTCAACCAGACATTGGTCGATCATTTTTGCCCAGTACACGAGAATATTCAAGAAAAACTCAACAAAACAAAAAATCGCTAATCATAATCATATAGAATAGATTGACTAGAATAGGCAAAAACACACAAAAGCATACCGCAAGTTTAAATTTTGATGAATTCAAAAGAAGTAGTGCTAATGTAGGCACATAAACACCGCCATAACTTTCTCCAGTAACAAATAATTGTCGACCTTCATATTCTGGAAATTTTTCCAAGAAATGCAGTAATGCATGATAATTATTCAGTGCAGTCTATTTCGTAGAAAATAGAAGAAGAGAAATAGATATACATGGAATAAACTTTATATGAAACAATGATTCACACATAACAAACTAGTTTCTTCATCTTAAAAGAGTAAGACATGCATATGCTACATGTACAAATCTATCACCATCAGTCAGTTAGCATTACTGCGTAAAGTTCCAATTTGTCACATCTCATACTAGTGCATTAAGTTGAAGGGAATACAGAGGAAAGATAGAGAAACAGGGAAGAAAGTAATGAGGAGGAGTAAGATATCACAAAAACAAGAACAAGAAGAAATGAAGTAATAATAGAACTCTATCTAATGATTGAGATGAAGATAGTGTGCGCATACACCTGCGCCAGTGACACTAATCCTCAGCTACATCACCTAAAGTCTCCAAATACCGATTTCAGTTGTAATGTAAACCTCAGTTGGAAAGTCTACATTTCTCCACAAGGCTTAAAACAATATTCAACGAATTTATGAACCCACACCATGCTTTAATCTGGCCCCCTTCAACTTTTATCCAGCCTAAACCTATTTCAGTTAGCATTCTGACATGGGTAGACAGTGATTAGGTACGCGTAACACATGCCCCAGGCAGCATTACCACTAAAACGAAATCACGTAAAATAGAAAACTATATCTATGATAATGTTCAATGGTATCTCGAACAAGAGTAAAGTCATCTTTGACGAATTCCCCAAAATTGAATGTTTTAAGAACTTCATCAAGAGTCTTCACGTCGAACGCAAGCAGTGGTGGGTGGTGAAAGCAAGCGATAGAGATGGAGAAAGTATCAGTGTTGGGTAACATCCGTAACTGCTTAGGCTACTTTAAGATATCGACAAGAAGACAATGGTGAGTGAAATCATCACTGGAATGGATGGGACACTGATAACTTCCCAGAACAGGCAGCTAAAACGTTGGGCAGAACACTTTGAAGCACAGTTCAAATGGCCCTCAGCAACGCTTCAGTTACCCCACATCCAGTCTGAACCTGAATGAGACGCAGATGTCACTTCTCCAACTCTCCTTGAAGTTGAGAAAGCTGTATCGAACTTGAAAGGATGCAAAGCAGCAGGACCTGACAGTTTGCCACCTGAAGTTTTTATGGATAGAGGTGAGAAATCGCTACTTAAAGTGATGGAGGTACTAGGCAGTGTATGGGAATCAGAGATAGTGTCATCGGACTGGTCTACTTCTCTGATCATCCCGGTCTGTAAGAAAGGAAAGTCATCATATGACAGCCATAGGGAAGTTAGTTTGACTGATATTGTGTTCAAGATCCTAAGGTCCATAGTTATCCGACGCCTAACTGGAACTCGAGAACAGCAAATTTGAGAAAGCCAAGCATGTTTCAGACAGAGCTGGACTAGGGAGCATTGGTCATATTTTCACCCTCTGATAGATTCTGGAACACAAGCATACCTACCAGCAGCTGACTCTTGCCACATTTTTTGACCTGAAGGTGGCATTTGACTCTGTTGGCTGTGAGGTGTTGTGGCAGTGCCTGACTGTGAAAGGAGAACTGAACAAGTATATGACGGTAATCAAAGCTCACTACTCAAACCCACGTAGCCGTTGTCAGAGCTTATGGAGAGCTGTCACGTGGATTGATGGCAACTAGGTGTCTGCTGGGGACAACCACTGTCATCGTCTTTATTTAACTTCATCATAGACGTTCTAATGGACATAATCTTAGGTAACTGTCTTCAGTGGGATTGACTTACTCTCTGGAGGTCATCTGTTTGACTTGAAGTATGCAGACGGTATCGTTCTCCTGGGCGAAGACGCTGACAAAATGCAGGGTCCTCTGAGTGCCTTGAGCTGAAATCTGAGTGTGTTTGGCATGCATTCTGCACCTGTGAAATGTAAGATACTCCGAGACTGATCTGCAACGACTCCTAGCCCAATGATAGGGAGTAAAGTGGTGAAATGTGTTGACCACTTCAATTACTTGAGTTGGATCAGCGCGAACTAGTTGCGGATGAAATCTCAGTTGAGATGTAGAAGGCCCGTTTGGCATTTACCACCTTACGTCATCTGTGGTGCTGACTGGTGGGATATTTAACCATCTATCTATCTATCAAAGGACGAGCATACTGCGCTGATGCAGTCCGTTCTGTCCTGTTGTATGGCTGTAAGACATGGCCGTTAAAGGTAGAACACATGAAGAGATTACAGGGTTTTGATCATAGGTATCTTCGTAGAATTACTCGCGTTTGGTGGGATCACCGTGTGAGCAGTGTTGAGGTCAGGCTAAAGATACTAGGGAAGACAGGAAATCGATTGATGAGGTTATGAACTTTCATCGACTGAGATGGCTTAGATATGTATTGCGAATGCCGACTCATCACCTACCTCGACGTATCATGCTGCAGGAGGTTGAATTAGGTCGGAAAAGACTTCAGGGTGGCCAGGCAAAAACCTGGCACCAGTCGACGAAGTCTCTAACTGTTGATCTGAGTTGTGTGGGGCAATGCAGACTGCCTGGTTGGGGTCCCTGAGGCAAAAGGAATCAGTGGTTGAGGACTCTTGGTGAAATAGTAGAAAATCGGTCACAATGGAACAGATCAATTCACTTCTCACATCTTCTTAAGCTTGAGTTTTCACACTAACTGTTATCTTCAGATTGTTTGCTCTCTCACAAAACTTTGTCTACTTTGATATCACGTTTTCTATGTACCGGTTCTTTGTATACTACTTTGAAGTGTGGCATCTTGCTCCAATGCACCCGTGTGGGGGAGGTTGTATGTTGATTTTGTCAGTGTCAGTCAACCGAGATATTTCTCGGTGTGGATAAGCTACAGACAGTCAAAAGCACAATCATCCTATTCTCATCTTTACCTACTTCTCATCTATTTACTTACTACTATCATCATTAGGTTTTCCATTCCTGGTTTTCAATTCGCTTTCTTTCATTTCAGTGTTGTAAAGTGTAGTAAACTCAAGACAATATGAAACTATTGTAAACCACTTTCGAAAGATGCCTACCTGTCTGGTGTGATATGCTCTAGAGGCTTTTAGTATGCTGTTAATAATGTGTGCTGTGAATATCACTCAGACAGTATGAGGCGCTGGTAAGTATGACTGTTCGAAAACGTCTAGAAGGGTGAAGATGTGGCCGATGCACTCTCCTTCAAGTCTAAAACCTGCTTGTTTTTCTTGCGTTCCAGTTAGGCGAAGATAACTACAAACGGTAGCATCTCATATACGATATAAATCGAACTGATTTCCCTTTGGTTGTTATACACAGACTTCTCTTGCTTTTTATAGACTGAAATGACCAGCGATTAAGAATAATTTCATGGGGGCTATTTCTGATTTTCAAACAGTACTTAGTGCCATAGTCTAGTGATTTCCAACCTTCATCTTTATGAACTTCTGGTGGCAAACAGTCGAATCCCATTGCCTTTCATCGTTTCATGTTTGAAACAAAGACAACCCTTTCTAACCTTCATTGACTGAAACAGCTGGGATGTATGAAACGGATACCTAGTCACCATCTACCTTGCCCCCAGGCTGGAAAAGGTTTGGGGTGGTCAAACTAAAACGTGGCATCAATGCACGAAGTATTTGACTACCGGTTTTAGCCATATTGGGAGATGCAGACTACCCAGTTCGGGTTCACGTGACAACAGAAATTAGTGGTTGGAGACTATGTGCTATAGCTCAGAGTCGATCTCGGTGGAGTAGACGTATTCATAATTAATTACCATCCTGAATTCAAGATTTTCTCATCTCTCTCTTTTACTGCTTTTGACTGATTTCTCTCTTTTCTTCATCTTTCATCTTATTGCTTTGTTACTAGATGTGCTGATATGAGGTATGACAACGTGGACCATTACGCAGTAATGGCTGGTTCTATGTTGATATTGATGACGACCATTATCGCAATCCTTTCAGATTTGCACCAGATGCTGGGCAACAGAAGTATGTTTGTTGGCCAGTTGAGTAAAAACTTTCACTCACAAATTAGCGAGATTACTTCAATAATAATGTACAAGTTATAGGACCCAAAAATGTAAAAGATAAGGTCAACATTATCTATGAAGTCAAATATAATTAAATTATAAAAATAACTTGTCACTCTAGGCATCACCTACATTAACAATTTCCAGAGAAACTATATGCTGCTTCACTTTTAAAATAGCCTATCCGGAAGTTTTCTCTTAGCTTGGAAAGTGAGTGTCAATCTTTAAACCACTGATTTGGCAGAATGATACTGGGAATATACTTTAATTTTTTTAAAGGTAAATATCACAGCTCTACTGGTTTCACGAAGAAATACATTTTATCGACGATGTCTTTTACTTTTATATTCTAAGGACAATATCCCAAACCCCTAATAAAGTATGCAGGTACAAACATCGTAAATAAAACGAATAACTAGTTCAAACATTTGCTGAATTTCAATCAAACGTCTAACCCTCATTTTGAATTCGAATGAAACACCATAGTGAGGTAAATAAGGCTACATAAATCAGCAATGTTCAACAACTACCTAAATAAATATATTGAAAAACAATTAACTTTACCGAGTGAAATCAGTTCATAATCAACTGCACAACAAATCAGCAGAAAAATGGTGCTACTACTAATTTTAGATAAACACAACAGATAAACCAAATACAACGTAATTACAACTTAAAAACACCGGAACCAACCACTGAAACAGGTATGAGTAGATTGGCAACAGTTAACATAACAACAAAATACGAAAGCAGGAAGTTTAATGAAAGACTGCTTAAACTGTCACAAGCGAAAAGGAGGGAATTAAAGATGAATGATAGTGAATCTTTCAGAACAACTACTGTCTACGATGAGGTACGACTTACTTGAGAGATAAATGAACTACAACAACGGAATTCATGCTTTCATAGTAACCATTCATAATAAACAGTTAAACAGTGACAGTAGTACTGGTTAAAAAGCACATTTACCTGGTTATCATCAGTGGTAACATTCCCGTCAACAGAATAGGAGAATCCCACGCCTGCCGGAGACTCCAGATAGAGAACGTTTCCAATCTACGAATAGCATTAAGTAAAATGTATATCGTTCATTTAGAGAAACAAAGTTACATCTAGCAAACAAACCATCAGAAGTGCAAATGATTCCTAAGGATTAATGTTAGAATACATTGTGCTTAAGGGACAACTATACTAGGCAGTGTAGACATACAAAACACTGTAAATAACTCCAGTGAAAACCTTGAGATCTACAGAAAGCATTGAACACAAGACAATAATGAGGTACGTAAAAACATCTTCGATAATGAAGGCAAGAAGTCAATTAGATGAACGAATCGAATACCTTAAAATTATTGCTGACTACACTAACCATTAAACTGCTGACAGTTAATCACTACTACACCGTGACAATATTTCTCTTCGTGTATCTCTCCTCAATGAAGTCTGGCTGTTGGTCTGAGCAGTATAGGAAATTACAGGCAGTGAGGTTAGGGTCCTCGGGATGACAGAAATCAATGATCGAAGATGATTGGTGATACGGTTAAAAATCCGTTAGTGATCGAAATGTATTCTTTGGGATTTTTGAAATTCTCAACGTTTTAAAAACCTTAATTTACTTACTTCAAATTTATCAAGAGACTGTTTCTGAGAAGTGGACTTCTTCATCACTTTGTTAAGAGGTTAGATGAACTAGTCAGCTTGAAGTGCGAAATCGGCATCTGAAGGAGTGAAGTTGAACTTCCAGCTACACATTTCCTGAACTATTGCGTAAAATTTTACGTCCTAAATAGGACGGAACGCGCATCTCTACTCGCAACAACCAAGTAAATTAACATAAATATTCGGGAAATTTAGAGGCATACGCATAGGAGCCCATATGCCGACAAAGGTCAACAATTCGACTCCGTACAACAACAGAGAACTATAAGTATATCAAAAGAAAGTAATCTTAAAGCTCTAACGACTTCCCCGACCTTTCCTTCTGTGTTCATCGCCAACAATCCAAGTCACCGAAACACCGTTCCCAGTCTTTAAAGACCCTGCTATCGATTTGCCATCGAGTAATTCAACGTCGTACTGCACGCATTTCTCTCCAGAACCCTGGAATCTGGAGCCATGAATGTTATGTTTTTGAGACACATGCATACAGGACCCGAGTGTGGTTATTAATTTTACCTTATTTAGCAACTACGGTGAATATGCAAAATTTACTCTACAAGTGTTCAAAGTATATGTTTATCTGTCGTGGACTCGCTGATGTAGGTATAGCACTTTCGAGAAAAAAGCACACTTCTAGACTGGTACCAATCAACGGCTGTCTTTTTGTTGCCCGACTGAATTGATCTGTGATAGGAGAATAATGCGTTCACCATTGTTTAAACATAAACTCCTCCTATGCACTCACCGATTTCAGTTCCGATAGTGCAAAAGATGAATCTTATCAAAAGTCCAGCTAGCCTTAATAGTAGGCAACTTTATCGTTCAAATAGGAAAACTGAACCAGTCGGAAAAGCACCATACTGGAGGTATCTACAGAATCCCATGCGAACGAAACAACAATGGTGACTACATCTTGCAATTTTGTTCTGGAAACCACTTGGTTCTGGCCAGCACTAACTTCAAGCATGGGGAGAGATACTTTCTTACATGGCTTCCACCAACAAGCCAACGACAAACACAGATAGGTCTTATTACTCTAAGCCATCGTTGGAGGATTGCCGCTCTTCCAGGAGTACTTGTTTGGTACGGGCACATATATATATGCACCTTACCGGTCACATAAAACAGACGACAGCGAAGCCTGGGTGTGCTCGATTAGAAGATAAGAATATGCAGTATGTACTTAGGGACGATGTAACTAAGCAATTATCCGAACGTGACGCCAATTCTCATCCTAGGGAAACCCAGAGTGATATTAGGTCTACTGTAGAAGCAGACGTAAAGGGAGTTGGTAAACTACATTCAAACGCTAGCGAACATCAATGGATTTCCCCAATATCATCCGAACCGATTGGAGTGAGACTCAATCCACCTGGCTTCGGCCGCAACGAGTGAAAAATTAACATAAATTGACGTCTTTACAAAAATAATGAGCTAAGCCGGGTGGCTAAAACGAGAGTTAGAGAAGGCATCAGCATTCGGCAACATCCAGAACTACTTAGGATTATTAAAGGTATCGGTAAGATGACGTTTAGTGAGGGTATCACAGAAAATGATAGGACTCTGATAACCTATCAGGACACAAGGTAGGCGGAACACCTTGAAGCACACTTCAACGGCACTATAGCAACGATTCGGATGGTCAGCATCCAGCCCAAACCTGAATGGAACGTACATTTGGTCCTGAAACTACCCGCGTAGTTGAGAAGGCTGTTTCAGACATGAAATGATGCAAAGCAGCAGGACCTGACGGTTTACCACTAAAAGCTTCTAAGGATGGCGGTAGGAAGTTGGTGATTTGAGCAACGGAGGTAATGTGTAGTGTATGTAAATTAGATGCAATCCCGTTAGACTGGTTTACTTGAATGATCATTTTGGTCCATAAGAACGGAAAACTCATGACAACTAAAGGGGAAGCACACTCAATAACATCGTGTCCAAAACCCTGAAGCCCATAGTTATCCGATGCCTTACTGGAGCTCCAAAACAATAAATTCAAAAATACCAGAGGTTTCAGACTTGAACAACGGTGAGTTGATCAGATTTTCACCATTTGACAAGTTCAGGAATACAGGCAACTCACTTTTAGGAGGCAAAGGAGTAATTGAGGATGTCCTCTCAACTCAAAGAAATTTTTTACTATTTTAGTGTCACCTAAGCCCATACACAAATTCTGACATTAAAACTTGAACAGTTTATGCTAGTCACATACTTTTCTGTCAGAATATCTAAGCATGGTAAGGTCTGCAAATAAACTTTGGTCGGATTCTTTGTGAATAGCAGTGAAGCATCAAACCAAAGTGGTAAATGTACACTTCACGAGAAAAAACCTAACCAACTAAGCAAATAAAATCTTGTTACAGAATAAATGATTGAATACCAATGAAGAGATAATTAACGTACTTTATTCCAGGAATAAGGATTCTCCACGAGTCGAGGTCCTTCTGTGAGCTGAAGTGGAAGTCAGTGAGTATAGAGAGGTAAGAACTCCAGATTTTAGATGCAAAATACATAGATATAAAGCTCGACATTATGCAACATAGTGATAGATTAATAATAATTATAAGCTATCATAAGTATTTTATTGGAAGTTATTTAGTCAATAAACAATCAGTCAATGTTACAGCTCCATGTCACAATCTCCCAAAGCTTTGGAATTACGTTAAGACACAAAGGAACATTAGTGGGCGAAACGATGCAACCCAGAACCTTCAAACAATCAATCAACCGAAGTATTGATAAATCACTTTTAACCAAAGGGTGAAACTTGGTTGACTGGTAATAACTACAACCTATCTGGTAGTAAGACAGAACTAAACAGACTCACTGATTACATCTCATAAATGTTGAGTTAATGTTTGAAATATATGTGTATCCTAAATATTAACGAAGGTAAACAAGACTTACAGTGTATGGACCATTTTCAGAAAGCAAACCTTCCATGGATGAGCATCCAGGACCACCGTTTAGCCACAAAATTAGCGGCGATGACTCTGGTGATGAAACGGCTTCGACAAGCCAGTAGTGAATCTGGATGTTACTACTAGCACCATTCAGATATCCTGAGTACTGTGTGAACTGTGGTTGAGGCCAAGCACCAGGTAGGTACAAAATTTATCTGCATGATTTGGATCTGCTTCCTTGCATATAGATGCCAAACAAACACTAAACAGAAAGACTAATGACACAGTAAGAACGTCATAACCAGAAAAACCTATTCAAATTATGCGCAGCTGTACAAGAGTTCAACTACGTGCTACCTTCAAACTTCAAAGTTAATATCCAATATCCAATATCTTTTGATGAGCTAGTGTAAACCAACTGATTTCTTCGCGCTCGCTTCTAGGTCTTTCGGAACGGTTCCAGGTCTTTGGTGGATTCCAATGCATTAGATCCACCCACTCGATTGCTGCAGCTCTGGTTAGCCCGATGGGCGGTTGGGAATTGTTTAGATTTATAGGGAGTGTTGTTTGTTTGTTTGCTTTTTCTTCCGAGGACTGTGGTGCAGATGGGTTCCTCAGATGTCATGCCAGCAGACAATTGGTCGGACTGGTTGTAAGAAGAGATGAAAAATATGTGCAGAGAAATCAAGGAGAGAAAGTGTAGAGAGAGACAAAATAGAAAAAGAAAAAGAAAAAAGAAAGAATAATGTATGAAAAAGGAGTAGGAAAAAGGAAACGTCGCAGAAGAGTAAAACATTGGTAGGTTCATGGGGAATAGGTGACAGGGAGAGCTTTTGTTAAAGTTCGAGAACGTAGAGTCAAAAGTAAGAAGAATAAATATTATAGGACGAATGGGAATATAGTAATTCTTTTAGTAAAGGGCGGTAACTGGAGGAGATGTCTGCAGGAAGGTATAAGGTTAAGCCAAGTTCTCAGTGATAGTGGTTTTACTAAGTGTTCAGTAACGGTTGGTCGTACCGAGTTAGTAAGCCGTGTTAGCCTAGTCCACATCCCAGTTGGATGAGCGCAAACCGTGCGTCACTGCGTAACTGTCCAACCTCTTCTTGAAGCCGTCAACAGACGGAGCAGTAGCAATCTCGGCAGACAATGCGTCCCAGTGGCCGCAAACTCGCAGAGAGAAGAAGTGTGATCGCACACAGGTTTTCGCTCTTTGGTGGGCGACCCTCCTTGGGTTACCATGAGGATCGCCACAGTGGCCGTTCGGTAGGATTCCACTGTTTGGATGACTTGGGTCACTTATTATTTTGTAAGCCGTCATCAATTCACCACGTAATCTACGGTAGCTTAGGGAGAAGAGCCCTAGATCTTTCAGCTCGTCCTGATATGGTTTTTGCCTCATTCCCACGACACCCTTTGCAACTCGCCTTTGCACTTTCTCCAGGAGGTTCACACCTCTTTTCAGATATGGTGGTGCAATGACGTTGTGTGCCTCTAGGTGGGGTCGTATATAGGTCTTATGCAGCCTTAAAAAGAGTTCCGGGGTCAGGGCACCCATTTGTCTGCGCATGAAGTGCAGTACTGCGTAGGCTCTGGAGAAATCTCCTGGATAATTGGGGCTAGTGTCTAGTTTACCAGTTAGTATTAGTCCTAGGTCTTTCTCTGTGGTGGTATGAGAAAGTTGTGTTTTACAGAGAGAATGGGGTACCTTCTGAGAGTCTGGGGTGCGGAGAAACATGGCTCGGCATCCATCTAGGTTAAATGCAAGTCCACTAATATCCAGCCACTCTGCAAGTAATCTGAGATCACTTTGCAGTGCGCTTGATTCTGTTTCTGACGTCACAGCTCTCCATAGCTTAACATCATCAGCGTAAAGTAGAATTGGGGAGCTGAGATTCAGTGGGAGGTCATTCACAAAAAGAAGGAATAGCAGAGGACCCAGAATCGCTCCTTGTGATACACCAGATGATGATGTCCTCCTAGTCGAGCAAACTCTGTTGGCTTTTGTGCAGAATTGTCTACCGTCTAGATAGTCCTGCAACCATGAAGGCACTTGTCCCTTGATGCCCAACCTTTCTAGTTTGTGAATAAGAACGGTGTATGGAACTGTGTCGAAGGCCTTAGTAAAATCCAGGAAAATAACATGGACAGGAATTTAGAGGTCCCAGCATGCCGTCCACTTATCACCTGCCGCCAGAATGTTTATGGCACAAGACCTACCCTCTCTGAAACCATGTTGTGCATCACTGAGTGCTCCCCTCTTTTCTAAGTACTCCCTGAGATGGTCGTCCACCAGACTCTCCATTACTTTTGACACCACTGGTAGGAGGGCTATGGGTCGGTAGCATTTTGGGTTCTGCCTGTCTGCACCTTTGAAGATGGGGGACAGAATAGCACTTTTCCACTCTTGTGGAAGCATGTGATTGTCCAAAGAGTGTTGAAACAAGCTACACAGCGGACCGCACAAGGCACCCGCGCATTGTTTCAGCACAGCCGGTCGGATGTCGTCACACCCTGGGCGGAGCTTTGACAGTTTTTCGAGGACCATAGCAGGAGTTACCTTTATTCCAGGTAACTCTACTGCGTTTGGTGGTGCTGAATTTCAGTCGAACAGTTGGTAATTTTGGTCTGATAGGGACGTATTGAGCTGCGTATAGAAGGTGGCGCCAAAGGCTTCGGTGATCTCTAGCCCGGAGAGGTTCTCCCCGTTTAGGCCTTTCAGGACGCAAGCCCCCTGGGTGGTGGATTTTCTGCCTGCCATAAACCGATATAGGTTTTTGGGATTTGCCTCGAGCTTTTGAGCAAGGTTCGTCTGGAATGACCTCCTGTCTCCCCTCACTCTGATGTTACATCGATTTCTTAGGGCAATATACACGGTGTGGTCAGACACTTTTCTGGAGGTCCTCCACTTGTGCCATGCTTTCCTCTTGGCTTTCAAAAGGCGTTCAGTGCCTCGCTTCAACCATGAGGTTCGTTTCCGCGTATTGCTGTGATTACTGGGACGTTCTCAGAGACAGCCCTCTTGATGATATCTCTGACTAGTTCCTAATGTTGGTCAATCGACAGGTTGCTCCACTCCTGAGGCCATGGTGCTGTCGAAACATATTGGTTCATCGCCACGTATTTCGCTTTGTTGTAGCAAAGACAAGGGCGCGATGCCTCCCATGACAGTTGTTCATTGAGTACCAGATCGAACACTACCACACCGTGATCGCTGCTGCCGACGGGGGTTTGGACCTGTACATTTCCTACCAGCAGTGGGTCACTGGTAAAAAGGTAGTCCAGTTTGGACGGCTTTCCGCCCGACCTCCAGCGAATGTCATTACCAATATTCTCGTGCAGCCCAGCCTTTTTGACAGTGCTGAGTAAATTTCGGTCCAACCTTCGGCTTGAGGTTCCCTTATTCTGCCCAAGATTGAGAGTCGGGGCATTGAAGTCGCCTGCTATAATGACTGGTCATATCCGATGGACGTCGCTCGGACATTACTTGCAGCAGTTGTTGGCTATCTTCCACGCTGCTAGTAGGCTTTCTGTGGACGCCTCCCACTAGGTACTTGGTGCGTCCGACCTTAAATTGACACCAGATGGAGTCTTGGAGCCCCGAAAGTGGGGTTTCAGTTGCTCGCTCACTTTTAAGGTTATCACTTGCAAGCATCGCCACTCCGCCTCGTTCCTTAAACTCCCCGTCCCTCCTGAACAGACTCATACCACCTGTACTAGTTTCGACGTCGCTTACGTCCGGTGATAACCAAGTTTCTGTCAGGATTACGGTCGTTGGAGCAAGGCAGGAACACAGAAATCGTAATTCCCCCATCTTATTTCTAAGTCCCCTCAAATTACTGTAAAGACACCTGGCTATGTTTCTAACGACAAGGGGTATCTTGGTGCTGGCAGACTGGAGGGAGTCGTGTGTAGCGGCGAAACTTGCTATAGGGCGGCCAGCTCCAGTGGAACCGGCCCAATCACGTTTTTCCCACAATGGTTTCCGGGGGTTTCATAGAGTCCATCTTGTCTGTTGACAGTGATGGTGACTTCAGAGGTGGGCGGTGCTGCCATTTGCTGTTGTCGCAGTGTCCTGGCCTGCTTTCACAGCAGCGAACATTCCACTGATGTTATCTTTAACTGTGTACCAAGTTTGCAGTACACTGGTTAAAAGTTCATGACAGCCGAAGTTGTGGTTAAAGTTGTAGAATTAGCGAACTGCGGTTCCTTGTGTTATGTGTCTGTCTTATTGGAATACGTTCTAAGTTTGGAATGGTCACAATTATCTTCCCGGTTCTGAAAAACCTGAAAGGATAGAGATGAGATTAATTAGTTGATATCTGGTCTGAAGTTGGTATTACTGCATCTGATCTGGGGAAGGCTTCCCGAGCATAGCCCATAGGTACCGTAGGACTCGAGGTGTGCGTCTAGCCTCCTTTTAAAAGTATCAGGGGATGGGGCTATAACAACTGCTGAAGGGAGGGAATTCCACGGTTTACAGACTCTAACTGAAATGAGTTAGCACGGATCTTTGTACGTGCTCTTTCATGCTCTATTCTTAACGGGTGACCCCTCAAGTCACGTTTCCGACTGAAGCTTAGAAGGGGTCTGTTGGGATGGGGGGATTATGGGCGACGCGGTACACCATGATCATATCCCCTCTCACCCAAATATTATCCAATCTCCAATATGTTTTTACGAGCTAGTTTACACCAACTGCTTTCTTCGCACTCGCTTCTAGGTCTGGCGAAACGGTTCCAGGTCTTCGTACATTCCGATGCAGATGGTCTACCCACCTGGCTGCTGTAGCTTTGGTTAGCCCGATGGGAGGTTGGTTGTTAATTACATTAGTGGGGATTATGTGGTTTTTTCAAAAACTGTGGTCCAGGTGGGTTCCTCAAGTGTCGTACCACCAAAAGTTGGTCGGACTGCTTGTAAAAAGGGAGACAGAAAAGATGTCCAGAGAAACCAAGTGAGAGGGAGTGAGAAGAAGCAGGACAAAACAAGGTAAGGTGGAAGGAGGCGGGACAGAATGCAAGGAAAAACCTAGGTAGATGACCGGCAGATAAGCGACAGGGAGAACTTTTAATAAATAGTGTGAGAACATGGGGTTGGGGTGAGGGAAGGGAGCAAGTAGGACTGTAAGATGGGATATAGGGATCAGGAAAGTAACATCATTAGTAGGAGGTGGTAACTGGAAATGTCTACTGGGAAGCATAAGGTCGAGTCAGGTTCGTAATGATAATGGGGTTAGAAGAGTTTCGGCAATGGGTTGGCTGTACTGAGTCAGCAGGTCTTATGAACCTAATCAATATCCCAGCTGGATGAGCGCAAACCATGCGTCGCTGTGCATTTGTCTAGCCCCTTCTTGA